CCACGATTGTGGGGCGTCTGAATGTCTATCTATGTTTTAGGACCTGACGTGGTGTGAATATCTGGTCTACACAACCTCGTCCAGGTCGAAAACCAGTCTGATTTTCTCTAACGTGTTCTTCACCAGCTTTGGTTAGGCGTCGAAGTATTATTGAAGCTAATGTTTTAGACACTATATTAGTCAAACTGATTCCTCTAATTGCCACAAGAGGACTTTTGTTCTTTTTTTATAGACTGGCACAATCAGTGATTGAGATCAGTCAGATGGGATTACATCCAGTTCCCAGATTCTACCTAAGACCTCAGTTAATCTCACTGCTAATACTGGACCGCCATATCTGAAAACCTCGGAGGTAAACCTGTCAGGGCCTGCTGCTCTATCATGCTTTAGATTTCTTATAGCTTTTTCAACCAAGTAAAGAGTTGGAGGAATTACATTAACTTGCCATCCAGGTCGACTGAAGATTATGTGAAACCGAAGTGTGGCTGAAGGCCAGTTGAAGTGATCCATAAAGTGTTCTTGCCCATCGATCCAATCTCCTGGATTGAGAATGAATAATATGTCCATCTTTTTCAGAGATAGTTTCGTTAACAGTTGGGTTCCTAATACCGGTTTCCTTAACAAGTGTGAAGACTTGCCTGCTGTTACCCATTGCCGCTGCCTTTTCCATCTCTCTTGTTTTCGCTGCCCACCAGTGTTCACGATCATTGCGTAGACTTCTTGTCAGCTCGCGCTTAAGCTGACTCCGCTCTTCATTATGTTCAGATCCAGGTGGAATGAGTTTTCGAGCATCTATCAGTGCGGTAGATGCTGCTGAGATCCGGTGCTGCTCCCTAACCTTACGGTTTACCGTACTAGCAGATGTCACTGCTGTTTCCACAGCTTTTCGGATATCATTCCATACTGTCTCGGGGTGGGCATCACCTACATAGCTGCCTAACTGTTTTCCTAGTTGTTCCTGAAATATACTCTTAGCTTGACTATCATTAAGTAGGGCCCTAAGAGGTTTCCTTGCAGCGTCTTTCTTACGTCCAGTAAGACGCAGACAAATACGCGCTCGTACTAGAGCATGATCTGAATCTAAGCATGTGCTCCAGAATGAGCGACAGTCTTCCATCGCGTCCCTCCATCGGTGGCTGACAGCTATGTGATCTAATTGCGCCTGTATGCGCGTTTCGGAGACGCAGCACGCATCGATGGCGCGGGATTCCAAAATCCTAGCTAAGGAAGCCTGCTGTCCTATTTGGCACAGTGTTCGTACGTTAAAAGCTCCTACATGTAGTTTAGAGCGTGGTTTCAGGAGACCAGGAATAGCGTTCCGCGGTGCGGGATGATAAAGAGATGTGAGGAGGATTAGTCATGGAGTTAAGAGAGGTATTAGGAGGTGTAGGAAGGATTTGAATGTGACCAACTTGGTCTCGTGTGCTGTTACGGGTACGAGGGCTGATGTCACTTCCCGGTTGCCCACACCGTGGAAGGGTATTTCTTGATGAACCTGAAAAGGAAATTGGATTAGTGTTGGTCTTAAAGACCTGGGAGCGTGACCGCAGAGCCCAGGGGACAACTGCTTGAGGCCGGTCGCGCACGGCCTTTTCGTGGAAGGTTTTTAATGTGTTAGCTCCGTTCTTCAAAGGGCCTTACCACCGGAGACGGAAATCCGTGAGGTAAGGTGAGGTGTGACATTTTAAGGGTCGACCTTTTCTAACCCCACCCCTCCTTGTGGGAAGGCAGCATCGCTGCAGATGCTGGTTGTCCGAAGGAAACACCTTACTGCTGCCACACCTCTCTACAGTCAGCAGTACAACTTCGCCCTCAGACCTTGGAGTTGCTGCTTTTAGTCTTACCGTTCTCCAATCGACCTGCCTGGCATGGTAGAACCTACAGGAACATATGTTCCAGCCAATATAGCTCGGTTGGGTCATCACGATAGGCAAGCCCGACCACCGCGTCCAGGTAGCAGCTTCGGTCGGGCAGCCCCAAAAGACTAAACAGAGACCATATTAGTATGTGCTGTTTTCAAACAGTTGTAAATCACCTGTCCCATCAAGGTTACGAAGCCACGATAACTCCGTGGAATTGTCTAAAACACAGCTAAGTGAATTTGGGTCACCAATATTTCTGAGATTGCAGGTATGCCTTGCTAATTAATAGCGACTGGCACGAAACATAGGACCGGAGTTTCATATTGGACATCCTAAAGGTAGTCTAGTTGAATTACGGAATTACTTTGAGTACGTAGGTTTCATACAAACATCGTAATCATCAAAATCAAGGCTAATATCGACGCACGGAACGTAATTAATAACTTATAGTCACGTGCGTACATACATAAAAGAACAAACTACGATTACTGGGACTGTTATAATCGAGTAACTAGAATAAATATATTGGACGATCGGCTTTACATGAAATGAAACAAATAGATAAAATAATCGTCGTCGGCGATATCAGACTTTCAAATGCACGAAAGCGAGGGCCATAAAACAAATAATAAATAACAGGAATGAATAACCGCCGAAAACTACCATACCTTAGACCTAAAATATAGTTCGATCAGACGGTTCAATTTCTTAATTAAGTCTTACAAGTTAAAAAAAGTAATGAGAATAGACTGCAGTCTAACGACATAATGAGCTGCGTCGTGTTCAAACTCCTCAAAATCAGTAGAACATTTAAGATATCCTCTAGAATTATAAGAGATTAATTTCTGAAAACAACGAAGATACACAAACTACCATAGAGTTCGCGCAAAAATTGTAATTTACAGCGTCAGTATACACATTGCGCTTTTACGCAAGGTACTATTTGACTTTTCTCAACCATCCTCGAAGTATGCTTCAGAAAATGGAGAATTGCAGTGAGCATTTTATTCATAGAAGAGCTTCAGTCAGATTTTGAACAATATTTTTGACTGTAACACATTATTTTCGTAACATAAAAACACTAACACTAAAGATTATCAATAACTTGTATGTCTGTAGAACACCGTTGTACTTATCACCGGTCAACAATAGTAGTGCTTCTTGACATCAGGGCTGCCTTCGATTCGTTGGACAGGACTGCTCTCTAGGATTGTCTAGTGAAGAAGGGTGTGCCTGAGAAGTTGAATAACATCCTAAAAGCCCTACATACAAACACCTCAGGCAGAGTGAGGGAAAACAACCACCTCTCTCCACTATTATATTCGAGCAGTGAGGATAGACAAGGTTGCCCAATCTCACAATTCCTCTTCAACTTTGCCATCGATGACATTCTGGAAACAGCTCTGATGGATGTAAGTAATGGCGGTGTGAATCTGTTGCCTGGAGAAAGACTTCTCGAACTTGAGTATGCGGATGATATTGTCTTACTGTGCGGTAATGCCCAACCATGCAATCCGCACCATCTCGAGACATCGACTTCGGTGGCTTGAACATGTTGTACAAATGTCGTCCCAGAGAATTTGTCGTCGTGCATTACTCGCCGACGCTGGTACTGGTTGGAAAAAGCGGAGAGGTGGTCAGAGTATGAAATGGTGTCGTGGTATGAGAGAAAGCTGCAAAGAGCTGGCTTCTGTTGGTCCTTCACGACACCCTGGCTGGGGTTCGAGAGATGGTGCAACAGTGGCTAGAGACGTTATCAGAAATGGCTCACAATAGAAGCCAATGGCGATCCTACTGTAACCTTCATAAAGAAAGTGGTTGTAACTTCCTTAACTGAAAGAATTCTTCTGGTTGTACCTTTCCGTTTCCCTCATTATTATTATTACAATACCATACACTAATCTGTGTTCGTTGTTTAGTATAGCGCATATATATCTGCTGCCGTCTTGTACCAATATTTATGTGTTCAAATTAATAAGTAAAGAAAATAATAATCTGTAGATGTAAAATTAGATAGTGACCTCTCAAAGTATGTACTACTTGCACGTGTCAGTTAGTGCTCTGGTAGTAATCATATAATGATGCATTTTGCTTCAAAGACCATGACGAACCATGAAATCTTATTGACTTATGAAAACTTGAAATACCCAAAGACATTTTCGAACACTTAACATTCACCTGAAAACACTAGTAGTAATTGGAAATTGTGAGTTTTTTTTACTAAAGAAATATTGATGACAACTAAGCCATGAAGTATAGCCATCCTGGAAGGTTAGAACTATTATCCGTAGAAAAAAGTTCTTTCTGCAGTGAAATTTGGAGAAAAGACGTGAGTGTGACATGCAAAGTAACTATGGCCGACCAGATAAGTGAGAGACTGGAAGTAATTTAAAGCCGAATATACCATTCAACATATTCATTTACTTAATGAAACTAAAAAGGACCCAAATGATATGAGAAAGTGTATATTACTTTCATAGCGATTGCAAAGCATCACACGAAAACCTAGTAGAATAAAAATAAATCCTTATGATATTTATTATCCCTAATACCTCAGTAAGGGGTGTTATGTCAGAAGATTAATTTATGAGTAACTTCCGGAAACTCTTCATAGACCGTTAATTATATATATATATGGGGTTGTTAAGTTTTTTTATTGAGATCATGTATCGAATGATGTTAGACCATCACTGAAAACATGGATTCACTGGGCGGTCGTTTCGTTCTAGTGTAGGACTCTTCAACAGTGCGCATCTACGATCCCGCTCGTGGGATCCGAACCCAGGACCTTCGGTCTCGCGCGCGAACGCTAAACTTCTAGACCACCGAATCGAAATCTGACGGCGTTAATGTCTAACTCCAACCAATCCACGAGACTGCGCGACTATCTTCCATTGTCTGAGGTAACTAACCGACACGGATTAGCTCCACCGGTCGGGTACATCCGGCTGACGAATCCCAAGTGGAACGAAACGCGTCCTGGATTCCGCTACCCATCTTTACTTATAAAGCTCGACTTAAGACAATATCGAGGCAGTCCACAAAGGATGCACACATGCCAACAGGAGAATGATCAATTGCAGTCCTACATAATGGGAATATACAAACAAACAATACCAAGTATATATATTCCGTGGAATTAATTTAAAAAATTCAAATTTATTCAGTCTGATCACCTAGCATCTTCACAGCCTAAATAGACGATAAGAACCGGAACATTCTAATAATCAATAAATGAAAGGAACCTAAGCCCAGAATGGATGACTTTATTTTTCCAGCCGTTTGAAAGTCCAAGTAGTGAGAAACCTCAATTTCCTAGCGTAAATGTGAAAAATCATAGAGATGGGATATTACATTAAATAAACACAAAATAACAAAAGTACAAATGTTAATAGATCATAAATTATTATTCTAGGTGATTTAAATTAGCAGAAGTTGTGGGAGAATCAGCTAATGCAGTATTATTAGAAAGTAAATCACTTTGATTAGCTTCGATTTCACCAGGAATCTCACTAAAAGTAGGTACTGAACTTGTAACAGTGAAAACATTGTTAGACAATTCATTTGACTCGAGATTGTCTGAATCCCCAACAGTAGTTGTTAAGTCACCTAACAACTCTGTTCGTTCATGAGAGTTGATAGAATGGTTTAAGCTGGAAGCATCCTGACTATTCCGGACAGATAATGATGGTGTGGAAACTTGTAGCTGAATTTGACCTACAAGTTGATTATTAGAAACGAATTCACGGAATTCCCAATCACTAAGCAGGTTAGGTAATTCGTAATGATGGAAGAAATAAATCATTGAATGCAATATAAATAGCCAGGAAACCCAAAGAGCAACACCACTGAATGCCCATTGAAACGATAATGGTAGGCATAAAATCCAAAATGATACAAGTAGAAGTACCTGATAAAATTAAAAAATTACAAATAAATGTAAGACAGAGCAACATCCAGAAATTAACTCTTAAAAACAAAGTGAAAAAAAACTTAGTACTACACTGAATATATAACTTGAAGATTATTTAATTTTATTTAGGCTTTTATGAGAAGTGGAATTTAGTATATAGGTTATTAATAATCGCTAGTGTGAATATGTACAACGCGATACAATTTAGGACTGTTTCACTAGTTAAATGCTCATGAATCTGATTATTATAAAAACTCCATAGTTCTAACCTGAAACAATAGTAGATTCACAGAATTTCCCTTAAATATTGTTTAAAGAAAAACGGTAACTAGATGGTGAATTGGAGGGAGATGTATCAGAAACAATAAACAACAGTATGTTCATAAAAAAGATGGTGTGATCTTATTAACAATATATTTTCATACTCAGATCACGTTACAATGAAGGTCATTTACAAATAAATTCACCAAAAGATTCTAAAACACAAGCGCAGCTATATATCTCGTAGATGAATAAGATATCATAACTTTTAGACGACGACAGGTTCATTTGGTGGGACTTTAGATCTAGTTAACCAGAAACGAAACGCATTTTTGTAGGGGGCTTCCTGAATGAAATAATACATGATTCAGTAATTTAAAAACCTAAAAATGAATAACTTGAATATTTCTTTCCAATCTTCATACATTACTTGACATCGTGAAAATATTACAAGTGACAGGAAGAATATAAAGATCCAGAAAATCAAAAACATATTTGCCATTTTTAAAGATGAAATGTATTGGCGACTTTTGTCTGTATTCATCACACTTCGCTTACTTCGCCAAAAGGGTTGTTTGTTTTTTCAAGTAAATGGTCAGTGAATAATTAAACAACGATTTAACCTTAATCAAAGTTCACTTAGGTATGGTGAACATTGCTGTTAAAAGATTTTCTCTTCTTTAGGTTTCTAAGCTTAAAAAGAACCGAATCTATCAGTCGTCATAAGTGATAGATTATGTTATTTTTCAATACTAAGACGAGTCATTCGTAATGCGCTGAACACGCATAAAATTATAGAGTGGGCCGAAAAGAAAAAAGTCGTCAACTTAATTGTTTAAATAGTTCTCAAAAATAAACGAAAGACTAATCTTCTTTTCTTTTCGTTATGGAACGCGTTAGATATACAACAACGGTTAAGTAGACTGAAAATGAGAGTGACGTAACATTATTCAAATATTAATAAAATTAAAGTCAGAAACCAAACGAAGCTGCCTATAGAACAAACGTTCAGCTGAAGATTATCTATAAGCGCGGTATAATGTAAAAATTCACTAACCTTGGCCAATATCTTTTGCTTAATTCAGTACGACAAAATACAGCTTCATAGTGATCACAAACGCTTATAATGAGAATAACATAAAACGCAGTGATTGAATCTCCAAAAAATTCAGACATGATAGTTTCCATGGCTGGAAATTATAAACAATTGGTAAGCTTTTCGTTAGGATGGAAAACGGACTTGCTACATCACATTAAAGGTCAACAATAAATATTTATTAATGTCATTGCAAAATCGATCAGAAAGTACTTAAAGTAAATAATAAGTAAACGTTACACCACGAGAATGAATTATGACCATGATTAGTCATCAGCTAATCTAACCATAGAATCCCAGACACCCAAGAAATGAAAGAAACTAAATATGTAAATATTATGAGTGACTGAAGACTAGAGTACTGGAAACAAAAGTATGTAGATCAATGTGAGTCAATAAAACACGATAAACATTTAGAGACTTTATTGCGACAAGCTGAGATGTTAGTCACAAATAAATTTACAGGCCCAAATATGTAGAGTCAAAGGATAGCTAATTAGTAGACCGAAACATCTTTTTTAACCGTAACACTGCATGGTTGTACTAAAAAAGCAGATATAGCTTAATTATCTGATAAGAAAAATACAGCACATAGAAAAAGTTACCATATTCCACGTCCATTAACGAGTGGCAAACTTAATGAATCATCGATACCATTCATTTTTGAAGTATACTACAAACATAACTCACGATAATCTGTAAAGTTCATTGGTAAAAAAGTGTATTAATCCGTAAAGGTGCCGATATTGTCATACTGATGATTCACACTGTTTTTTTCTGACCACACATATTATTATCAAAATCATTTAAAAGCACTATTATTCAACAGAGTCACAACAGTTATACAGAAATATTATAAAACAAGAATTTAAACAACCACATCTATAATGCATAACTTACCAACAAGAGCAAGAATCACTGTCATAAATGGGGCAACAGGAATCCCAAACGAGGTATTCGTTTCAAACATTTGGAGAATATCAGCTGGAACACAAATACCGGAAGATAAAATTAGTGGAAAAACAAACCAAGTTGTCATTTGTGTACGTATCCACGAAATTTATCGAAACACTTTTATATTCATATGAAACACTGAATAACGACTCAACTTACGAGTAAAAAAAAGTATAGCTAATTAACAGAAGTTAATTTTTATTGATACAGACAACAAGCCTCCTAAAAATGGAAAGATGCTTTAACACAAAACACATGAAGTTCCTATTGACGACTATTTTTAGACACTGAACACGCTTCTTTTGAGTTACTTCGGTAAATATTCTGTTAATATTAGTAAGACATATAGACAACATAACTACGAATAGTCAAAACAACGACAATTTGTTTGTTATCTAGAATGGAAGTGAGACAATTTACCATAAAATCATTAATTATTATAAAACCAAACTGGCAAAAAAATACAGAGAAAAAAGTTAAAGGTACGTTACTTTTTGCAATAATATACCTAAAAAATAAGTTCCCAATCAGATATACACATTCAAATATGTCGTTGTTTTTCATTTACTTCAGTATGTTAGTCATGTAGTTTTTTTGCAGCTGTAGTTCACATACATTAAAATTAATTAGAGAACTAGTGTTTGCAAGGTAAGTTGTGAATAAACCTCTGACTCCAACTAAACCATACAAGAATGATATACTAATTGAAATTAGCAACCCGAGTGATTTAACAGTAAATTACTTACCTATTACAACCACAAGCTGTTGACTTGAATATCTTAACAGAACGGATATACAAAATGTCTGCAAAAAATAATGCAAAGGGATGGATAAATATACAACCTAAAAAAGAAAAGTTACAAATTATAATGAAGAAATTCGCAGATGAAATATTTGTCTTCATAATGCAATTGGTGCACCAGCTACCAGTTAGTTTTATACTGAGATGAAATAGGAAAGTATAGATGCCACATGTGGCACAAAGAAACCTGGATAAAACCTCGCATTTTATGAAACAGTTCATGAAATCAAATAATCAGGTACCTAAAACCGCCTAGACAGGACAGAACACTTAACAAAAGCGAGATGCTGAATGGTTTGGAAATAAAATTATGCTGTTGGGGATACTCAATATTCCCCCAAAACAAACTACGTGACTGGAAGTTCATTTGTTGACTGGCTGTCATACAAGTTAGCTGATATCGGAATTAGAGGCAACTAATTTATGTAGATAAAGAACTGCCTAGTGAGACGCCAGCATTGAGTACGAATGAACTCAAAGTTCTCTCGCTGGGAAACTGCACTTAGCAGGGTATCCCAGGGTACAGTGCTGTTTATCCTGTGTGTAAATGACCTTCCCAGTCTCTTATCATCATTCGTTTCGTTATATACTGACGACATCAAAAGCGATAAAAGGTAAAGGTAATAGTTTGGAGTTTCAAAACGACCTGGAGAAATGATCTGAATGGTATAGAATTCGGCATTTCCTGATAAGTGCTTCCAAGTGAATTGTGATGTATATCGGTCAACATGGTACAGATACATACACAGTGAGTAACACTGAACTATCTGTTGTCCAGACACGCAATGACTAAGGAGTCATTGTTAGCCAGGACTTGGATCCAATTGCATTATGAACTGGAGCTCACATATCCATATGGAAGTGGGTGGTCTTCTGACAAGCGAACCGTATATGTGTCTATACGACTCATTCTCCTATATTCATTGCTGGAGAGCTGAGTTATATAATCCCTCACATTATTGTAACTCCACAGCATTGATTGGCTTGTTTTGGTGATAATATAGTTGCTGAAAATTAGAAATTCACTGTCTCAGTGGATCATGTAGGAATGTACAAACTTGATTTGCATTCGCAAGACAATTCCTATACTTTTGGAGGCTATGATTTACCTCGCAATCGACAAAAAAGGTATAATCGTATTCATCCTTTAACTTCTCGTAAGCCTCGAAAACGACATCATTATATTCATTCCACTCCCCCAGTATTATCCACTATTTAATGTTTTTATAGTTTTCCCCTACTATCATTACTTGCCCTCTTAAACCTTACTTATTGATTATATATATCTCACTGTGATGATGTAAAGTGTTGCAACTTAATTTTAGTTCTTTTATGCTGTGTTTCACATTGTATTACTTCTGTCGGCACTGAGGAAAGTAACTTCAGTCGTTTACGATATCAGTATTCACTCAGCCAGGAAGTTATAGATGATGTACCAATCATAGTGCCATATCTCTTATCAACACAGTAAGTGGGAATTAACAAGACTACAAACTAAGCGTGAAAGATACGATCCAAATGAAATCAAAGCATGGGAAGTACAATGTGACACCCTAGTCTCTTTAATGAACATTAACAGTTGTCCGCTGTTTGTGTCAGACTAGGTGTTTAGCTAGTTAAATCATAAATACACATTGGCCCCACTTCCATCTTCGAGGTGAGAGTTTAGAGAACTCGTTTTGTTGCAATGTCCTTAAATTTAGTAATGTGTGGCAGTACACGTCATCGCATGAGAACGATCATGATCCAGAAATGTGCTCCGGAAATAGAAACAGTTTTTTGTTAAACGTTTCTGACGATTAGTGGTTGTGATATCTGCCTATAGTTGAGTCCTGTAGACATTTAAGTTAATAACTTCGTCAATATAATCATTTGCCTTTCCATAGCTTCTGATTCGTTCATAAATAAGCTAGCACTGCTGAATAATATGGCCTCTAGATAAGTATATGTAAAATGCCGCACCCACATAAAACGACATAGATTCATAGCTTTATCAATGTTTAATTAAAACCCCACAACTTACGTCAATATTATAAACTCTGTGATTCCATCATACTGCATGAATAGTCCGAAAATCCTTACAATCGACTACTTTCAATGTACAAATATATCCTAGCTTCAAAAACTATATTCTTCGGTAGTGGGGCAACAAATACCAGGTTTAAAGACTGTATATTATCATTCTAACAAACAAAAAAGTCTGCCTCAAATTTGGCTCTAGTTGGCTAAAGCTTAATCATACTTAATCATAAGCGTGCGTCAACAATACTATGGGTCAAATGAATCTGTAGGTTAGGTGAACAAAACTTTTATGTGTGTTCAGGAGATATGGTGTAAATTTACGTCACTGGATCCTACAATCTTAACTTATGAAATCTATTATCTGCGATATAAATTTAGATGCTTCAAGATGTGGAATAAAGTACGGTCTGATAAAACTGTGGATGACATCCCGTAGGCTCAAAGAATTAGCATAGATTAAAAAAGAGGGGAGATGATGCAACAGAAGCGTTCATAGTAGAAGTGGAATATTATTTCAGGAACCAAATGCTGTTGGAGATATATTAGTGAATAACATTTTCGATACTGTAACTTTTCTGGAGGACTTGAAACGGAGACGAAATTAGTGCCAAAATTAAAAAACGTTGAGACTTGACCGCAAAACCCAAACGACAGGTGCCTGAATTCAGTCACACACTTCTACATGAGTAATTATTTTCGCATTATTGGCATGATACTTTCCGAAACTGGAAATATGCATGAAAAGAGGAGTGAATTATTCAATGTTTCTAGTCAATGTTTCCTAGTTCGTCATTTTATATGACAGAACAGTAGAGACATCAGTTAACCCTACAAAACCTTATGAAAGAAAACTACCTGTCATGAACTAATATTGTGAGTGACGGAGACTTGTTGATGGAAGTTCAGAAGTCACTGAAGCTGCTCAATTTCCAAAAGTTAAACACGATTTCGTATTCCCACGAGTGTTCGGTGTCATACCACATTTAGGAATGTAGAATTAAAGGCAAAATAAGTCAGTCAATGTTGTCAGTATATTACGTTCCTTCGTTTTTTGTTTACATTTATTATTTATTGTTTGATTAATCGACTACTTTGATTTTGTAGCTAAATTAATGCAGGATTTCGAAGAATCTCGAAACATTTTATCGCCCAGGGAGCTGAAATTTCGCTAACTGGTTGTAATGAAAAAATAATACAGAGTTAAAGGTTTTACTAAATTTGAACAAGACGTTCAAAAGTAATTCGTGCAATTTGGTGAAATACATTACCAGAACTGCTAAAAACAGTTAAACTCTGCTAGAAATAGGAAGATTGATGATCGAGAATCTAAATGAAGCCCATAATTTCCCCATTTTTAACTAGTCATTTTATTACTAAAGCGGTAACGAAAATAAGAATACTGAAACAATGTAAACAATTAACAATTAATTGTAGCCCATGAGGTCACTAATTCCTATATTCCGCAACTACTTTCATCTCGAAAATTACTTAAAAAGTACAGAATATCTGAAACAGGAGTGAAAACCGTTAACAAAAAACTTACAAATAGTAACATGATCAGAGCAGCAGCAAAGTAGGACGACCTAGACATCTGCGAAATAACGAGCTTATAATGTTGTCCGCTCATTACATTTACCACATAACCTTTCAATCCTTCGCTAGCTGATAAGTACTTCACACTACCAATCAAAAGGTCTTCATAACCGAGAAACTCTTCCATGAGGAAACGACTGAGTTTACTGCCGAAGCAAGGGTTTGTTTCTGGGTCTACAATTTAGCAATATGCATATTTGATTACGTAAACCTAATGGTAGAAAAATATTACTTCCGCACAGAAATTTGAAAGAAAAAATCTCAAGAACCAATCCTAGTAAGCTCCATCACTTGCGACTATAAAAACTTAGCAAGTCCTGCAGAAAGAGACTGGAACGATTCAACAGGAACAGTACACCAAGATTTCATAAGCAAATAATATTAACAACCAAGTATTTCATCATACGAAATAAAGGTCCGCACTAAACACGAATGAAAATTAAATAGGGCATCCTTAAAGTTCTGTGAACGACATTCACGTTTACACTGGCATTTCTGAATGGTAATTACTAACATCAAACATATTAGACAGATGACGCAATGAGTTACTAATCTCTAGTCAACAATCTGATACGAAAGTGTCAAAACTACTTTCAGGAAAACACTAACACTGAATGAGAAATTTTTACGGTAAGTGAACGAACGTTGGATAATGTGCAGGATGATGATATGAAAAGTTTGTAAGTAACTCATTTTGCTGCTGGACTTAATTTGAAGCTCCATTTTGTTAATATTAATTTTTGTTTTTCTCCACATTGGAAATTCGTGCACTATGCGACCATAACGCTGTAAAAAAATTACATTTTTGGTTCATTATTTTATAGAACTTTATTTTTGCAGTAATAAATTCAACCGCTTACACGTGGAATTACTATATCCTTCGATTTGAGTTGAGGACACGGACAATGTAGAAACAAAACTGCCCTCTAGTTTACCTTAGCCTCACTCAGGGAATTATATACGAGGAAATTTACGTAACAAAAAAGAACGTAAATAAAGGGAAAAAACAAAGAACAAGACACCAATAAGATAATTTCGAAACATGTATTAATTAAAATTTTAATGAATAACATTTGATCAATTATGGACTTTGAAAAAGGATTCCCTTCTCATTACCAGACGTTATACAGTTCAGTACTGATGTTAGTGGATGTTACTGCTAACTAATTTTTATTTAACTTGAAAGGTGTAACGGAGAATAACATTAATATTGTTCAGGCTCTTTACTAGAACACTTCTGGTCGTGACAGACCTTATGACAAACTATCATCGAAATTGTTTACTTCAAGTGCTGTTCGTCAGAGTTGTCCGTTCTCTTCACTTTTATTTAACTTTGTCATAGACATGCTTTTAGAAATGACACTCGTCGTCTGACTTTTGAGGGGTTGATCTACCATGAGATTCGTTTGTTGACTCAAGTTGATAAAATTCTGTTTGGTGAAGACGCTAGCAAAATACAGTCATTTGACCATCTTAAGCAACAATGCAAGCATGTTTGGTATGCGGTTCTCTCCCTACGAATTTATAATTTTACCTCAGGATTAACTTGTGTCATCGCTTGAATCAATGATAAGGAGTGAAGAAGTTGGACGCATCGACCGCTCCACTTATATTGGGAGACTCATCAGTACTGACGGTATCGCGTCTGACGAAATTTCGGCACAAATTTAGGAGGCTCGCTAGACTTTTGTCAACTTGCATCATTTGCGGCGTAAATGAGATGGTCATCTGCCAACCAATGGTTTTATTATTTATTTATTTATATGAACACATAAATATTGGTACGCTATAGTCTGATCGATGTTGCCGGTGCAACAGGCCAGTTGAACTACCCCTCAAAAAACTCTGACTATCGTCCAAGACGTCGTTTGATGTTAGCGATTGGCATCCGGTCATCTTCACATTGTTTCGCTCACACCAGACTCCTTGCTGCCAGTGGCTCGGATGAGTTGGAAGAGCTTCCAGTAATTACCAGATGCATCTGCTGCTTCCAGCTCTTTAGCACGCTCCGACCACCAGGCTTCTCGGTTCTTACGCAAGCTTTGCCCGATTTCCTTACGTAACATCCTTCGTTTGTGGTCAAACTCACGGTCACCCGGAGTGAACCGATGGGCTTCGATGAGTTATAAGAAGCCTGAAGAAACCTAGTGCTTACGAGCGGGACGTTTCGCGAAACCGCAAGGGGCTTTACTTGCCATTTTCATAGCGTCATGAAGTTGCAACCAATGATCATCTATACATTTTGGTGGAATGGTAGCTAGCCTAGCAGCTAGCTCGGTTCCATACTTACTTGCAACATAAGTTGCAACCAGCTTGCTAACACCAATCCGTTTAGGACGATGAATTCGTTGGCCACTGAAAAGTAAGGTGACATTGGCAGAGACCAGGACATGATCAGAGTCCGGATAGGTACTCCAAAAGGAGCGGCAGTCTTGTACACAACCACGCCAGCGGTAGCTGATCGTTATGTGATCAATCTGAGTCCAGGCTTGAGATACGAAGGGAGGACGCCAGGTGGCACATCGGCGATGACTGTGCCGAAAGTTAGTGCTAACCAGAAACAGGTTGTGGTCTGCGCACAGTTGCAGTAGACGGTCCCCGGTATCTGTCCTGCGACAAACAAGTCCCATAGGCCACCTAAACGACTCTCTTCTGTGCCTAGACGCCCAAACTCAGCATTCAGATCTCCGGTTAGTATTACAGTATCTGTCGAACACACTTTCTATAGAAGAACTGTTAGCTGGTGGTAAAACTCATCCTTGATTGCATCCGGGTTGCAATCTGTCAAAGCATAGGCGATGACGAAAAGACGTTGTTTCTCACACCGACGTCTTACTTCGATGGAACTTTCTAATCAGACAGCACGTAACGGACTGTTAATGGGAATCCAATCGATTAGTGCTGCCTCAGCCCTAGCGCTCAGTGCGACACCAACGCCAGCAAAACCAGACGTGGATACCAGAGGGTCCCCGGATAAACGCACATAAAACAAGCTTATCGAAGCGACAGATGAAGAGCAAATTTGTAGTACTTCGCTAGAGTCTTGAATACGAGTTTCGGATAGACAACAAACGTCGATATTAAGACTTTCCAAAGATATAGCCAACCCTATCTGTTGTCCGATCTGCGTTAATGTGCAAACTTTGAAGGCGGCCAGTTTGAATGGTATATGTGATTTCATAAAAACTGATTCAGTATTCGTATTTGGTGGTAGCATACAGTTTTCAACCAGGCAGTGACTCGAGAACGTTTAGATAGAACCGAGTTTCCACCATAAGCGAGCTGCTGTATAAGTCGAAAATTAAGGATACATAAAGCGGGAATAAAAAAGAGTAGATAAGCGACGTGGTACATAAAATAAAGCAAAATAAAAATGACTGTGAATTGTCTGTCGAGGCGAGGATAGAATTTCCAGTAATTTACTGTGCAGCAGTTCACTCTGTTCTACTTTATGTGTATGGAACATAAACATCAATAATAGAGAATATTCGTAGACCACTAGTATTCGATCACAGGTGTCTTCGAAGCAGTCCACTTGTATTTTGAGATCACCAAGTAAGCGATGCTTGGATTGGAAACACGATACTAGGTAAGGATGGAGGGCCGATTAGTGAGATGGTAAATCTTAAACAAGCGGTTGGGACCTGTCACGTATGCACAACCACAACCTACCTCGACGGGCGATTTTGTACGGTGTGAGAGTACACTGGAGGAAAGCTAAGGACGGACAAACCAAAAACACCGCACCAATTCATGAAAACATCGACGACTGGACTGAGCCATTTTGTCTTCCCCCAAATTCTGAGCTTCTGAATCCCTCATAATTTCTCTTTTCTGTAGTTATTAAACTAATTTATGTTTTCTTGAACTGTATTTTCGATGCCTACTCTTCGCAGTCACCATTCACACTGTTACTACCTCTACAACTCTGAGATTTGGCCTGACAACTTCATCTCTCTGTGCCGATGGGGTATGGCAACTTGAACTGATGTACATAAGTACAAGTTTTACGTTGTGACTGATTGAATGTTAACTTTTCAGTGTATCTCAATAAAACGGACATAAGACGATTACAAGAATGTTAAACATACCAAGAACAATTAATTTTACAGTTACGTTAAGCCGATTTCGGGCCCGCGGTGAGAGGCGAAGAAAGCCATACTCCAAGGCGTATTCAATTATGTAGCTCTCATTTGTGTTTAGTGCTGTAAAAGTATCAAAAGTTCCGAAAATTGTATGGCTGCTACGAAATTTAGGCGGGAAAAATTTGTTACGGAAGGTAAAAATGACAGTGTTCTGTAGAACTTAATGAGATTATTGTATTGCGTTGCTTTCTACATAGGTACATACACAAGCTCATAAGTTTAGTTACTTCAAAATTTGACTAAATATTAAAGTTCGAAATTCATATCATTGGAAGCCAACAAGCTGGTCAAATGGATAAGATGTGGTTCCATGATCCCAAGGTTCTGAGTTGAACCTTTAGCGGGGTTAGGAATGTGCACTTCTGGAAGGTCTCATACTAAGATAAAATGGTTGCATAGTGTTCCCAGGTTTTGAATGTTATTCCAACTAATGTCAATCTATGATGAATTTGACCTACAAATGTTAAAATATTCGGGAATGATGGTAAATCTTCACCAACTGAGATGGTTGGGTCACCGATAATCACGGCGCGCAATACTGACTAGTGTTGGGGATGGTTGGAAGAAAGTTAGGGGCGGCCAAACCAAAACGTGGCATCAGTACTTTAAGTTACTAGCTTCTAGTCTTAGCCATACTGGTAGATGCAGACTACTTGGTTGAAGTCCGTGTGACTATCGTAACGAATGATTGGAGACTCTGGGTGACATGACTCAGAATCGATCACAATGACGTAGAAGTGTACACTCTCTGTCTTCCCTTAAACTATGAGATTACGATTGCTTTATATCTTCCTTTATACGACCTAATTCTTTCTTCATGTATTATATCCTTATATGCAATCTTTATTTTATATATCACCACCACTGAATTAGCTGCTTATGTGAATCCGTTGTTTATGTTGTTGTGCTAATGAGGTGTGGCAACTTGAACCGATGCATATATGTGTCTGGTTCTACGTTGTAGCTGACTGACTGACTGACTTTGGTTATCACAATTGTCTGTTTTATCGACTTTAATGCGTGTGACGGGTTTAGCCAGATTCGTCTGCATAATTCTAGGAGGTTATGTTATTTAAATACATTCTTAGGAGATGTTGTATGTTCAAATGACGAAACAAACTTTGTGATGAGTTTCTCTTATTTTATCAACGTCTTTTATTGTGATACGAAAAAAGTTCACTAAACAGCATATATTGTGGATTTGTACACCTAGATGTTTTGTGGTCAAGGTATTTTATTGAACTCAGTTATTTAGAATATTTGCTCCTATTATTTAATTCACTTTGCAACACTGGAAATGTTGATTCATCACTGAGCTCCTTGGGATTGGCAAAATTCATTGGCTTGCTAGGAGCCCGGGTATTGTTTGATTAACTATATCCCTGGTTCTAAATGTTAAGAACTTCACTTTTTCAATTTGAATGATCATGTAAACCACTATATTTTTTAAGTTTTCCTTGGTTTAACGAGTACAGTAGTGTCAGACTTTACACTGCTCCATCCAGTTGGCGCGGATGGTTTATTTCAAAATACTTGAATGACAAATAATAATTAGTCTTTTAGTACCCTTCAACACTCTGCCACTTTGGTTCATCATCCTAGATAGGAAAAACAGTCTAGGTTCCGTTAGGATCTTAGGTACATTGAATGACTCCTCAACCTTTTCTGAATCCGTAAACGCTACCACATGTGTTGCTAGCTAACATGATTTTTTATTTCGTAATACCAGAGCTGTTTAAAGTCTGTCGAACAACCGAGCACCTTAACATTCGCTGTCGTACAACCAACACTTTAGAACGTTTTGTCATACAAAGACATTTTGTGGACCGAAAACTAAAGGTCTGTTACACTGTTGTGCTTGTTTGTTAATAATTTATTCAGAAAACTAGATAACTCGTGCTTTAGAGGGCAATCCACTTAAATATTCACCAGTGCATTACAATGCGAAATCCGCCCCGCCCATTTTTATTTAGTTAGTTGGTTATGACTCACACAGCAACATCTGCGTATGCTAAGTAGGGTATCTTTATTAATAGGAATTGAACCCAATCACGATACCAAGAATCCATTCACTCTTCAATATCTAAATCATTCGTTTCTTATTACTCTTGTCTACTTTCGTTTCTTAACTCATATACTTCTTGTACATTTCAACATTTTTTCCTTAGTTGTCAGAAATGTAGTATACAGAGTTCTGAGTAGACCGATTGGATGATGAACAACAAAGTTGAGGGATATTCTGCACTATGATCAAAGTAGTGAGCACATAAGTGTTTACTGACAGAAATTAGAGTGGTCAAATTCCAAGCACAGTAATGTGTGTAAGGAATTAACTCATTCTAGCATCAGCATTGCATGAGTTTCGTGTGAAGTACGTTATTTTTTTCCAGACAAAAAACTACTATTAAGACTAAATCACTTAAAAAAAGGAAAGACCTTTTAAATTTAGTGGTGTCGTCTCTAAGATCTGGTGGGGTACCTAAATTATTTCTGCAAGAATCGTTTGTGTCAAATAAAATAAAACAAAAAAATGTACTTACCAGGACCTGACGAGGCATATATACGAATAGGGATGTCGTAAATAAAATCAACGATACCAGCAAAGATGTCGAATAATAACCGGTTCACTTCAGGCAACAACTGACTGAGTTTATTCCTGGTGGTTATAATTGCGTTATATGGAGACATATTTTCCTCATTCTCTTTAAAAGAGAATGTTCGCTCTCGATTACTAGCGTATAAGTAATTTAAAAAGTGGTTGAAATTTTCTTTGATCGACCCATATGCAATGAATGGCAAAGATAAAAGTGAATTCCAGAAGTCCTGATGTTCGGGGATGATGTTCTCGGCAAAATAAGCTAGTGAATACTTTGAATTTTTGGGAATATAGGCAATATGTTTATCCAACTCGTTAACCTGTGGTGTCTTTTCATTTTTGGCTTCAAAACGATAATCAGTTTCAGTACCGTAAAACTCTTTCGCATATGAGTCATCGAGAGAATAGAACGGATCAGGAGAACGAATGACTTCGATACGTAAAACACCATAGTTAGGCCATGAACGTCGTAAAAAAGAATCTGATCCATTACCTTTTGACAAATAATTGGCATCCATAGTTATGGAGGTAAAAGATACATCTGAACCAGACTTTATGCTTTCAAATTCACTACGCAAATGATCCAAGCACGTTACTGGAGATTTTACAAATGTTACGTGAAGATGTATGAATACAACTAGTACGAAAACAGCCTGAAAAATAATTAAGCCAATACAATTTAAAATGTATAAAAAACGTTAGCACTTTAGTTACATTGGATATACTTATTCAATTAATTCCTAGCTAAACGAAGGGTAGGGGTGAAATGCATTGTGCACACTAAAGAAATAGACTATTTTTATTCCCATTTGGTGGAAAACAAAAAACACATGCACCTGTACCATTGCAAGAGGTTTTGAGCCATGCCATCTAAAGTATTCAACCATTGGCAACGATAATCACGCGGAACCCAACCAGGTAGTCTTTGCATCTATTAGCACATGTATTATTTGTTCTTTATTACTTAAGTTATAGTATGATTGAGCATTATCATCATGGTGTTGCCAGTAGATGTATGTAGTCACCACATATCTGCTCTAATAAGTCAGTTTTTCATAGACATAGAGCAGAGCTGCTCTCACCGACATTTTGTAAACCTGGTGTTTTACAACAAGATTGATATCATAAATGACCCAGAGATGACAAACTGTCAGTCAGTCACAATGTACAATCCGTACTTATGTACATCAGTTTAAGTTGCCATACCCCATTAGCATAGAGTGATGAAGTTGTCAAGCCAAATGTCAGAATAGTAGAGTTAGTAACAATATCAGAGGTAATAAGAGAGATTAGGCTTCTAAGTTAAGACTCGAAAATAGAATATAAATTAGAAATAAAAACAAAAAAACGTTATGAAGAACTTAGAATCTCAGAATTTGGGGGAAAAGAAAAAACACGTGCACCTGTACCATTGCGAACGGTTTTGAGTCATGTCATCTAAAGTATTCAACCATTGGCTACGATAATCACGCGGATCCCAACCAGGTAGTCTATGCATCTATTAACACCCAATCATCGATGACTTGATGAGTTGATGCCATGTTTTGATTTGGTGGAACGCACACTACAGAAATAGACGAATTTCCAGTCCCATAGATTTTACTATGAAACTGCAGCGTCAACTTCTAATACTACTGGTTTCGAAATCTATTGAACAGTCAATCAGTGAATGATTAATTAAGGATTACTAAATAACGATTTCTATCTATATAAACACTTCAACGTCCATACATATAGTTCCTTAAGGTATTTCAGAAGGATGGTCGTTTGGTATGGAAACCTATAGGGAATGAACTGATATTAATCCATAGTATAGTGACAACGCAAAGCAGATTATCAGATAAGGAAGAATTAGAAGTGACATTTTTGTAATACTGTATAGATCTGCCATTTTATTGTTCAAAACATTAGCGCCTTAAGTATAAACAGCAAGATGTAGACTAAGATGCTTATCTTCAACTTAACAAGTTATTCTAATGAGTCTTTTTTATTTATGTTTGCTTCTTAATCCCCCAGGACGTATTGCGTTTTAATTCAAATTTATAAAAACAAGTTGAAGACAAGCAAAACGAGTACATACAATTCGTACACTACTTATGTTGCTGTAATAACCGAACGAATTGTTTACAATTCTTTGTTTGCTTTCGCTAAAATGTAGAAGAACATTAAAACAATGGCCCAATGTTGTGATAGACTGAATAATTCTTTCCATAGTATAGCTGATTGTCTAAACTATTATTCGACCTAACCAATAAAATCAAATTAATCTGACTCTGCAACCTACAATGTAAGGGTCAACTATAATAGATTATATGTTGAGAAACACAATTAATGCTAAAAGGGACAGCAATCCAAAAATCAATTTTTCCGGTTTAAATTTACATCAAATAATAAACGCAATCTTACTGCACATGCTTAATCACTTCTATTTGTGTAAAAAGTATGGACTCCTCTTGCGATTTCGATGCAAGAATGATCAAACATCCTGACTAATCCATTTTCAATTAGTCAGCACTAATAAACGACGCCATTTGCCAGTTTTCTGCGTAACACGCGTGAATAATCGTGTTTATACACTTGTATCTTCGTTCTGGCATTTGCCTTTGGAATGTATCGTGTTGTGTTATATCGAGTGGCTCAAAATGAATTAGTTGGAGAGCAAAACTAATGTTTTCGGTCATCGGAATTAATTACTTCGAGTGACAGTCGTCAGGATTGTGCGCTTTCTCCATTTGTATTTAAATTAGTTATAGGCATGCTTTTAGAGACAGCACTCTCATTGTCTGACTTTTCAGGAGTTGATCTTCTACCAGGAGACTCACTTGTTGGGACGTGTCACGTATGCACAACCACAACTTACCTCGACGGGCGATTTTGTACGGTGTGAGAGTACACTGGAGGAAAGCTAGGGACGGACAAACCAAAAACACCGCACCAATTCATGAAAACATCGACGACTGGACTGAGCCATTTTGTCTTCCCCCAAATTCTGAGCTTCTGAATCCCTCATAATTTCTCTTTTCTGTAGTTATTAAACTAATTTATGTTTTCTTGAACTGTATTTTCGATACCTACTCTTCGCAGTCACCATTCACACTGTTACTACCTCTACAACTCTGAGATTTGGCCTGACAACTTCATCTCTCTGTGCCGATGGGGTATGGCAACTTGAACTGATGTACATAAGTACAAGTTTTACATTGTGACTGACTGACTAACTAGTCAAATTTGATTGTACTACTCTTACTTGATTTTTTAACAATAATATCTCTTTATATGTGTAGCTCACACGTGTTTTTGTATCCAGTTGTAGAAGAATACATACCTCTAATTAGTTGGTATGATTGTCAGAATTCAGGCAATCGCATTACACATTTCAGCCTAGATCCACCTATCACAGGTTTGACCTTTAAGTGCTCGATCTAAGGTTTATAAATGGATTTGGGTCCCATAATGTTATAGTAATTTATGCAGTCAAAAATTTGTTACCTGTACCAGAAACCCAAATTCGATGATGCGACGGGCAGTCAAAGGAAACACACGAATGTAACCAAGTGCAACTCGTCGAAAGAATACTTCAAATAAGTGAGCACGCGTATTTAGGACATTAGTTCTCAGAGAAATACGAGGAAGTTGGTTTACAGGCCTGCTGAATCCATTGAGAATAACCATAAGAGCAGAATGAATTTGATTTGATTGGATACAATTCAGCCTACAAAACCATGTTAGTACGGCAGATAAATGACAAATCATAGTGAGAACAGACTTTATCAAATGAAGTGATTTATGAATTTGGTAAAAATCAAGTCACAAAAAGATGGACACTTTAGGGAAAATCTCACATCTTAAACTAAAAAGTGAAGTAACAGCTCAAGATGATGTTTGTTTAGCTTTAGCCAACTAGAGCCAAATTTGAGGCAGACTTTTTTGTTTGTTAGAATGATAATATACAGTCTTTAAACCTGGTATTTGTTGCCCCACTACCGAAGAATATAGTTTTTGAAGCTAGGATATATTTGTACATTGAAAGTAGTCGATTGTAAGGATTTTCGGACTATTCATGCAGTATGATGGAATCACAGAGTTTATAATATTGACGTAAGTTGTGGGGTTTTAATTAAACATTGATAAAGCTATGAATCTATGTCGTTTTATGTGGGTGCGGCATTTTACATATACTTATCTAGAGGCCATATTATTCAGCAGTGCTAGCTTATTTATGAACGAATCAGAAGCTATGGAAAGGCAAATGATTATATTGACGAAGTTATTAACTTAAATGTCTACAGGACTCAACTATAGGCAGATATCACAACCACTAATCGTCAGAAACGTTTAACAAAAAACTGTTTCTATTTCCGGAGCACATTTCTGGATCATGATCGTTCTCATGCGATGACGTGTACTGCCACACATTACTAAATTTAAGGACATTGCAACAAAACGAGTTCTCTAAACTCTCACCTCGAAGATGGAAGTGGGGCCAATGTGTATTTATGATTTAACTAGCTAAACACCTAGTCTGACACAAACAGCGGACAACTGTTAATGTTCATTAAAGAGACTAGGGTGTCACATTGTACTTCCCATGCTTTGATTTCATTTGGATCGTATCTTTCACGCTTAGTTTGTAGTCTTGTTAATTCCCACTTACTGTGTTGATAAGAGATATGGCACTATGATTGGTACATCATCTATAACTTCCTGGCTGAGTGAATACTGATATCGTAAACGACTGAAGTTACTTTCCTCAGTGCCGACAGAAGTAATACAATGTGAAACACAGCATAAAAGAACTAAAATTAAGTTGCAACACTTTACATCATCACAGTGAGATATATATAATCAATAAGTAAGGTTTAAGAGGGCAAGTAATGATAGTAGGGGAAAACTATAAAAACATTAAATAGTGGATAATACTGGGGGAGTGGAATGAATATAATGATGTCGTTTTCGAGGCTTACGAGAAGTTAAAGGATGAATACGATTATACCTTTTTTGTCGATTGCGAGGTAAATCATAGTCTCCAAAAGTATAGGAATTGTCTTGCGAATGCAAATCAAGTTTGTACATTCCTACATGATCCACTGAGACAGTGAATTTCTAATTTTCAGCAACTATATTATCACCAAAACAAGCCAATCAATGCTGTGGAGTTACAATAATGTGAGGGATTATATAACTCAGCTCTCCAGCAATGAATATAGGAGAATGAGTCGTATAGACACATATACGGTTCGCTTGTCAGAAGACCACCCACTTCCATATGGATATGTGAGCTCCAGTTCATAATGCAATTGGATCCAAATGCATTATACTTGTATCTTGAGTGTGAGTGGATAAATAATGAATGCGTGAGCTAAGACCTAAAACTTTAGAAGCATCTATTTGGGAATAAATATGAATGCAGAACTAAGGCACAAAATTGTAAAGTACCACAGTCAACGACCAGAAGCGGAGCACTTCAAAGAATGGTTCAAATGGCTGTGGACGGAATAGAAGAAGCTTTCGCTTAACAGGCTTCCGTGTCTAGTAGCAGGGGATCACCAAATCCTCCAGGCAGGAACCTAGGTATGTTAACAATAAAAAGGAAAAGAAATTGGTAAATCATAATGTGATGCTGTCCTTGGTCCTTAAGAATAGGTCAAGTTGCCTCTTGAAGGACTCCTGAGAAGTCGCTTGGACTAGCTCGGCCGGCAGCGAATTCCAGCTTTTGACAACTCTTAAGGAGTAGAAGTTGTGTCTACATTCCGTCTTGCTATGTTGTGTTTCCAGTTTCTGGGTGTTACCCCTTAGGTTATTATTCGAACTAAGCTTAAGTAGGTGTTTAAGAGGATGTCCAGAAGTGTTAAGAATACTGTAAGCCATTAGTAAATCACCTCTAAGACGCCTATATTCTAGTGGGTAAAGGTCTAGTGAACGGAGGCGTTCTTCGTAAGGCTTAGATTTGAGTCCTCGAACTGATTTCGTGGCTCGCCGTTGGATACGCTCCAAAGTGACCTTGTCCTTCTGGAGTGAGGGGGGAGTACTATGTTTCCGTACTCTAAATGGGGACGGATAAAACTATTGAAGATTGTGTGGAAAGTTCGTCCGTCAAACTGTCCAAAAATGCGCTTCAACGTTACCAGTGCAAGGTTTGCTCGGAAGGCATTTTTGTCACAGTTAGCGTAAGACTTTAAGTCATGGGGTACCAGGACTCCTAAATCTTTTTCGACTTGGGATACTACTAGAGAGGAGTTTCCTAAGTTGTAACTGTAGTTTGCTACATGTCGCAGATGGACTACTTTACACTTTGAAGTGTTAAAGGTAAGTCCGTTATCGTCTGCCCAACTTTGAAGTCGCGTCAGATCATCCTGAAGTGCCTGTGTATCGTCTTGGTTGCGTATCTCTCTCCAAAGTTTCACGTCGTCGGCAAAAAGTAATAAATCTGACGTTACCTGTTGAGGAAGATCATTTATGTAGATCAAGAAGAGAAGAGGCCCTAGTACTGAGCCCTGGGGGACCCCACTAGGACATTCCATAGCCTGAGATAAAGTGAAATTAACCCTAACCTTAAAGTGTCGATTTTTTAGGTATGAAGTAAGCCAATCGATTAGAGGTGGTTTGATACCTAGTCGTTTGAGCTTGTTGATAAGACATAAGTGGTTAACCTTATCAAAAGCTTTTGAGAAATCAAGGTAAATGACGTCAACCTTTCCCTTGCAATCGAGGATGCTTGTCCATTTGTCCACCGCAGTCAGCAGGTTGGTTATACAGGAGTAACCCTTCCTGAAACCATGCTGTTGGGGTGAGAAGAAATTTAAGGACAGTAGATAGTCATTTAAACCGTCGCATATCAGGGACTCCATGAGTTTTGAAGGTAATGACAGAAGAGCCACCGGCCGATAACTTGAAGGTTCATTGCGTCGACCACCTTTGAAAATTGGTGTGATGTGAGCCAACTTCCAGTTTTCCGGTAATTTGCCTCGGCTAAGCGAGTGTGAAAACATCACGCTAAGCGGCGTTGCCAGGATTGAGGCTGCCTCCCTCAGTATGGCAGGATGAACCATATCCGGGCCAGGAGAAGTGTCAAGTCTTAAGTGCTGCAATTTCCGGAACACCAAGTCAGCGCTTAGGTCCACTTCAGAAAGTCCTGTGGAGTTGGAGATGAAACTGTCGTCAATAAAGTTGATGTCAGCCGGTTGAAATGTTTGAGAGTAATGGGCCGCCAGAAGGTTAGCGGCGTCGCCATCGTTGTTGGTCGGGCCGTTAAGACCTAGCAGTTGAGAAACTCCTGTTTTGGCTTGACGAAGAGAGGCTGCATAACGGAATAGGCTTCTAGGGTTAGAGGCGAATTTGTCCATAAGCTTTGTTTGGTACTGAAGCCTGTCTTCTCTTATAGCCTTCGTGCATGTGTTCCTGATATGTTTGTATTGCCTATACGCTCCATCGTTATTAGTTCGTTTGTATTCCGCCCAACAGTGCCGTTTGCGGCTTAGGAGGCGAAGGGTACGGTTCTTGATTACTGTAGGTGGCTTGAAGCTCTTGGGAACCGTTTGAGGAACTGAATGGTCTGTAGCACATAAGAGCGTGTGCAGTAAAAAGTCCCAATGACCATCCACATCGATTTGAGGGTGAACATCCCAAACGACCTGTTGTAGATAGTCATGTAGAGCTGGCACGTTCAGCCGTTTAAAATTCCAACGCAGATTATTGTTGGGATACCTTAGCTTAGTTTTGATGACAAAACTGAAGGCTATGACGGCATGATCGCTTTTTCCCAGAGGAGCCAGGATTGAGAGGTTGTCGACTAGGAATTCTTCGTTAGTGAATACACAGTCTAAGCGCGATGGTGTCTGACTGTTTCTCCAACGAGTTGCCGACCTCACATTTTCATATAAGCCCAAGTTATCGATGAGGTTGTAGAACCGAGCTTCAATTGAGTTGTCGCCTCCAGTGTACGTGTGTTCCGCGAAGTTGACTCTAGGGAGATTAAAGTCCCCTAGAATCAGTATGTGTGTGAAACCGAGACGGATAGAGCGGGATAGTCCTTCCAGCATACGACTATCGTACTCGGTGTCGGCAGTTGGCTTCCTGTAAATGACTCCGACTAGACACCTGGAAGTACTAGACAGTCTTACAGAGCACCATATGGATTCCTCAAGATTGTTAAACTCGAGGTTGTGAACCTGGTGCACCTCCAAGCAAGAGCTTATGTATATGGCTACTCCGCCCCCAATTCCTGTTTTTCTGTCGTTGCGGAACAAAGTCATCCCAGTCAATGCTAACTCTTGGTCCGAGAACTGAGAAGATATCCAGGTTTCAGATATTCCTATCAGATGGGCCTTATTAGCGCTGCTAAGTTCACGTAGTTCATCCAGTTTGTTTGGTAGACTCGCGGCGTTCATATATAAGCAGTTTATGCTTTCAATTTGGAACGCGTGAGCTTCGTCCTGTTTTTCTGTATGAACCTTGTGTGAATGGACAGGTAGCCCACCTATGTGAGGTTTGCCGAGGTGGTAGGCCCTGTCCTTTACACGTTTTTTTTATCGTTTAGACAGTCCACAAGTGGAATGGTCAGCTCCAACTTGCCTTTGTTCTTGGTCCTAACTTCGTATGGCCTATCCGGGTGCATGTGGATTCCAGGTGGCAATCGACGTCTATTAGCACGAAATGCTTCCAGAACTGCAGCCGCCATGTGGGAAGATGGGAAGGTTATCTTCATTAGACGGGGTCTAAGATCACCGTCCTTCTTGGCTAGTCTCGTCACATGCTGAGTCAGTATGTGTTTGAGCCTCAAGGACTGTTTGATGAATTTCCATTCCCTGATGTCAGAATTTGGTTGAGTAGGGTCAGCATTTTCCGGTATACCTTGGACAATTATGTTTCTTCCGCGGAAAAACTTCTCGCGAGATTCTTTAGGGACGTTTCGTATGATACTGCGCTCAGAGTACGGTATGTCGGGCAGTATTCTTACGTTACCATCTGATTTCAGCAAGTGGCTTGCTAGCAAGACGTCCTCTACGTCGGTAGCATCCTTAAGTGTTACTCGGAGAAGCCTCGGGTGATTTAGATGCTTAGAATCCTTTCCTCGAGTGAGCCGGGTGACCGTCAAAGGCTCTATTCTAGGAAGTTCAAGCTTCTTGTTCAATTCACCCCAGAGCATCCTGTCGTTTTTGTCCTGCAGACTGAGAGGAAGATCAGGGTTGTCAACGAGGTTCATGATAATGAGAGAATCGTCACGAACTGTTGTTAATTTACCAGGTTTCACGATGGGTTCAGGTTTAGTAACTTGTTGTTTGGAGGTCAGTGTGCGTTTTGAATCATGGGCTCTTTATTGGCCGGACGAACAGTCTTGGGGGTAGACTGTGCGACTAAATCACCAGTTATTTTCCGTGCACCAACACTTGGGTTGCTCGGCTTAGGCAGTGATGCCTGGTTCTTTTGGGCTCTCTTAACGTGGGTCGAATCACCTGCAGGGTTTTTGGGAACCACTGTTGTGTTTGGGGACCCTGAGCTGGGAGACCCGAGTTTGCCTAGGGAGTTCAGTACCGTCGACGTAATGATGGTACTGAGCCTCGACACGTCGTCGTTAGTGTTGATGGATGCGCCGTCGATGGAATACCTATCGACATCCCTGTTTTTGAGTCCGTTGCACGCTCTTGTTTGTATATCAGTTTTTTTGCTATCGTTTTCCAAGTTAACTGACAACTTGTTCCGAAGACCTGTCAGTAGGACAATGATGTTACTCAGCAAGACTACGGAGTCTGTGTTGCACGTGACACACACCCACTTTTGCTCTGACTTGCTGAGTTTGTTGTAAGCAGTTGCTGTCAGATCTGTGCATGCTTCGTGGAACCAACCTTTGCAGTTGTCGCACTGCATGCCAGTTGTGACAGCAAAACGGCATCCCGGACGTTTGCATGAGTTTTTCATGACGGTGTTGAAGCAAATTATGTTATAGATGCTTGCAAGAGCCTAAGACCTTTAAAAAAACACTAAAAAGCACACTGAAAACGGACAAAAATGGACAAAACGAGTGATATAAACTGAAACTAGTCTATACGTGAAAAACAAAAAAAACCGAATAGTAAGCTGAGGCAAAACCACAGGTAACTATTAAATATAGTGAAACTAAAAAAAAAGTAATCTACCGAACGTATAGCTCAGGGCAGATTCTTTAGAACTGAAATGGTACTTTTGTTGCGTAAGAACACAGCAAAAGTTTGATAAATGCAAATCACGTTAGGACTAAACTTCCCGTTCGAAAAGCGCGCGCAATCATTTAATGATAAATGTACATGCGGTGGGAAATTGACAAAATAAATACAAATAATATTAAAAACTATTTACAAAATAAGCTTGTCAGGTCTATCTCCACATAGCTCCCCCCAGAGTGTCCGGAGGTAACACTGGTTACAATAACAATAAGAAAAATTTTATACAAAAAAAATAATAATAATATTTACAATAATAACCGATTAACAATGTGGAGATGCGTATGACATGTACGTTAATAATATACAGTGTGTTATTGCGTGAAAATAGCGGTGATGTGGCATAGCATGACAAACAAAAGTAATGAGAATACCGTCATTTAAAATCTTGGTTTGCTAACAATGATAATAATGTACAGAACTGTTACTGAACCCAAAAAAAATGAACTGCTTTTGTGTGTGTGTGTGTGTACAACAAATGAATAATTAAATAGAGTTTACTCGTTTATTATTGTAACAAATTTTTTTTTATAAAAAAATGTGACAAAACGAATAATTGTGGGGAAAAAATATGGTTAACTATGTACACTGTAAAAAAAATCATAGATTTTGTTGGGAAAAATCGGGTGAGTATAATGGTATAGTACATCAGTAATTGTTTGTTTAGATTTTTTCTTATTCGGCGAAATGTACATGGCGTTTGGGTTTTTTTACAGCTCTGCCTGAGCGCGTTAAGCAAGTAGGTTTGATACTCAGTTTTTCTTCCATGTCTGCTGTAATGGTGGTTGCTGGACGGGGTTGGTTCGGTGAAGTAGTATGTTCTTTGTCGTGCTGTGCTTCGTAGAAAGCAGGCTTTATTCTATCGATAGCAATAGTCTCTTTCTTTCCACACTTGTTGATTATGAAGTGTTTGGTCGTTCTTTTAATTACTTGATATGGTCCTTCATAAGGGTGTTTCAATGGCTTTTTAACAGCATCAACTCGAACAAAGACAAATTTGCATGTTTCTAGATTTCTGTTGAGTTGTATTCGATTGTTATGTTCGCGAGGCGGTATGGCTTTGATTCGTTGCATGGTTTGCAGCAGTTGGCTAGCAAAACGACTTGGGTCCGTTGGTGTTAAAGTGTTTGGGTCCACTAGTTGACCTGGTAATGTAAGGGTTGTACCGTAAACTAGCTCAGCGGCTGTACAACCTATATCTTCCTTTATAGTTGAACGGATACCCAGGAGTACAAGTGGTAATGCGTCACTCCATTTTGTCGTACCATCTTGTGCCATCAGCGAGCTTTTCAATTGGCGGTGAAATCTTTCGACCAAGCCGTTAGCTGCTGGGTGGTAGGCTGTTGTTTTGATGTGGTTCACGCCCAGAAGTCTTGTGCATTCCTGAAATAAGATAGACTGAAACTGGTGGTGCACGGTGCATGGTGTAGCATGCCAACTCAAACAATAAATACAACACATCGCTCCTGGTACCGTTCTCCGAAAACGACCTACGTTGGCAACTCGACGATCAACGATCGCTTTCCTGTTCGCCAATTCTTCCGTCCGACAATCGCTCGTCAGCCGATCAGTCCCACGATTTAAACCGTTACTTATCGAAAGTGTGAACCCTTTCTAGCGGGGGGCTCCTGTAGTGACTCACATTTATCACGAGAGCACGACTGGTTTAATAAAAACAATTATTATTATAACCAACTGTACCAGTGTTTGTTTTAGTGTGATTTTGTTTGACTGTGCTAATGACAGCTATTTTGTGCTTCCATTCTTTTACTTACACTTCGATTGTAACTTCGCGCGAATTCGGTTACCTTTTGTAACCAAGGTTGTATCCTGGCACGATCTCGGTATCCTTTCGATGCCACGAGATCGCCAGCAAATATACACCTCGACTTGGTCCATTAATTGTCTTCTGATATTTGGCTTCTCGGGGATTTTATGGATCTATTTGGTTACGTCCAACCCTCGCCTTCTGATTTATCTGGCACGTGCTTCTTTGTAGCGGTGTTCACAGTTAATCTCAACTCGACGCCACGCTACGATATAACGAAATGAATGATGATAAGAGACTGGGAAGGTCATTTACACACAGGATAAACAGCACTGTACCCTGGGATACCCTGCTAAGTGCAGTTTCCCAGCGAGAGAACTTTGAGTTCATTCGTACTCAATGCTGGCGTCTCACTAGGCAGTTCTTTATCTACATAAATTAGTTGCCTCTAATTCCGATATCAGCTAACTTGTATGACAGCCAGTCAACAAATGAACTTCCAGTCACGTAGTTTGTTTTGGGGGAATATTGAGTATCCCCAACAGCATAATTTTATTTCCAAACCATTCAGCATCTCGCTTTTGTTAAGTGTTCTGTCCTGTCTAGGCGGTTTTAGGTACCTGATTATTTGATTTCATGAACTGTTTCATAAAATGCGAGGTTTTATCCAGGTTTCTTTGTGCCACATGTGGCATCTATACTTTCCATTTCATCTCAGTATAAAACTAACTGGTAGCTGGTGCACCAATTGCATTATGAAGACAAATATTTCATCTGCGAATTTCTTCATTATAATTTGTAACTTTTCTTTTTTAGGTTGTATATTTATCCATCCCTTTGCATTATTTTTTGCAGACATTTTGTATATCCGTTCTGTTAAGATATTCAAGTCAACAGCTTGTGGTTGTAATAGGTAAGTAATTTACTGTTAAATCACTCGGGTTGCTAATTTCAATTAGTATATCATTCTTGTATGGTTTAGTTGGAGTCAGAGGTTTATTCACAACTTACCTTGCAAACACTAGTTCTCTAATTAATTTTAATGTATGTGAACTACAGCTGCAAAAAAACTACATGACTAACATACTGAAGTAAATGAAAAACAACGACATATTTGAATGTGTATATCTGATTGGGAACTTATTTTTTAGGTATATTATTGCAAAAAGTAACGTACCTTTAACTTTTTTCTCTGTATTTTTTTGCCAGTTTGGTTATATGAAAATCATGATTTTAGTATATTCTTGAACGACACCTTCCGAATGGTGTTTTTCAAAATCCTAACGACCACGCTGGTTTGGCTTACAGATCAGTATTTCTCTGCGTTACAGATAGACTAATACTTATGGTTAGGTATTCATGACATTATCTGCTAACTCCTTTGATAGCCCAATATAAGTATCATCAGGTCACATGGATTTGCACATATCAAGCTTATTTAGCAGATTAAAGACATCGAGTTTGAAGATGCCACAAGTATTCGAAGTTTGACAACGCTTTATCGAGTAACGCCTTCTAATATAACTCGTACCCACCAATAGACATCAAAAGACAGAATCGAGGAGATCGGAAGATATACTTGATGACTATCAATATATCGAGAATCGTCTAATCTAGTCTGGCTATCGATTGCAGTAGATGTTGAGCACAGCGTTCCCACTCGTGATCTGGTGCGGAAGCATGACCGAGCACCTTCAGCTAGGTGAGTCCGTTAAATCTAATGTCGTCAACATCCAATGTCGAAAACTTACAGAGCTATCCATTTTGGGTATTTAATTAACGCTATAGATCACTCACCCCCCTAGTGGGGCAGTGATGACACTAAAACCTGGTCAGCCAGAAGTTTAAACCCAACGAGTATTGTTGTTGGTAAACACTCTTCCGATAGCTTACTACGTTTAGCAGCGTCTGGCCGTCTTTCCTTACTATAATGGACCATGAAGTACAATACAGTGAAACAAATAATGTACAATGAAAATTTTTGGTTCCTCGTAAACCTCATCGTTCTTTTGATCGTCTTTTCCAGCTGTCCTGGAAAAGAAAAAAAGAATATGTAAGTACATGTCCAGATAAATTCGTACGCGCTTTAAGACAAAAATTGGCGAAAAAGTGAAAATAAAGTACAATCAATTTTTACAAAATGTTTTTTGTCTGTTTTAGAATACATTTTTAATATACATATTGGCAAAATAATAAATATATATGAATGTAAGCATATAAAAATTGATTTTCTCAAATATTATAAATAATACTATGGAAAATCGAGATGAAGCAAAATATTAATTGGTGTCTTACGTGCTCTAGTTGTTTAAATGTTCTGAAAATCTTACTCTTCTTCCAGAACGCGTTGTTTTAAGTTCATTTTCTGATACTGCCGAAAGATCATCGTGTGTGTTGGCTGTCGAATGAAGTATTATAAGTTTAGGAGTCGTGTCATGCGATTGTATCGAAGGAAAGTCGACATGAATATGATCTCCTTCTAAATACGCTACTTTGAGGCAATCGATGCTGATGCTATCGTTGATTCCGTTCTTATCGACTATATAGTACTTGGATTCGCGTTGAACAACTTTGAAAGGTCCTTCGTAGGCTGATTCGAATGGTCGTCGATGCGAGTCTCGACGTACGAAGACGTGTGTATTATATCGTGAGTCAGGTTGAACGAAAACATCAGTTGATTGAGGTCGAGTGGAAGCAGGTTTAACTGAATGCGTTGCGTTTGTTAGCCTATTCGTGTAGGAGGTTAGATCCATGTTCATTGAAGAGGATGAAGGATCCACGAATTCTCCTGGAAGTCGAAGTGTCGTTCCATAAACGAGTTGAGCCGCAGTGCATCCAATGTCAGCTTTCACTGCATTGCGGATACCTAGTAAGACTAGTGGAAGAGCGTCAGTCCATTGTGAAACGTTTGCATCTGATTGTGAAGCTTTCAGTTGTGAGTGAAAGTGTTCTACTAACCCGTTTGCTTGTAGGTTGTAGGCGGTCGTTCGAAAGCGAGTGATTCCTAATAGTGCGGTCAGACAACGGAAAAGTTCAAACTCGAACTGGCGTCCGCGGTCTGTAGTGATGGTTGAAGGGCAGCCGAAGTTTGCAACCCATCGTTCGACGAAGACGCAGGCCACTGTTTCAGCAGTGATGTCCTTGATAGGTACTGCTTCTGGCCATCGAGTGAAACGGTCTACGCAGGTTAAGAGGTAAGAGTATCCATTTGAATCTGGTAAGGATCCTACCAAATCCAGATGAACATGGTCGAAACGAGCATCGGGAGTTTTAAATGAGCCTAAGGGACATTTGTGTCTGATAAC